TGCTATTTATTATTATTATTTAGCCATCATTTGGCTGGCAGTCAATTGGGCATTTTGTTTATAAACAATATACACAGGGCGCCGAGGAAAACATTTTTGATGTAGCTCATAAAAATGGTCAGTGAGACACACGGGGAAGTTCAGGGAAAACCCAAAAGAAATAATAAACACGAATTGCAAATATTTGTAAGCTTTCATCGGGAATTGGTGTGCGGGCCAAAAAGGTGTTGACGGAGGCAAACAGAATTAAAAATTGTTTTTCTGCTGTGTATTTTTAGTGCCGGTTAAACGGGCAAAAATTCACTTTTCCTTATTCTGGCAGGTGACATAAACGGAAATTACGCATACGCACTGTTGGCAATTTTATGAAATTTAATCCAATGAAAATAACAAAGGAAGAATGAGCTTGAAATAAAATCGAATCTCACAAAGAATGCGTTGGCAATAAATGGAAGACTTCGTCTTCATTTTGCATAACAATTTTCGTATAATTTTGCCTTTTTACCCCTGTTTACATTATTGTGCCTAAAAGATTATAATGGCATTAATTACGTATACGCTCAGGTGAACACGGCATAAGGCACGATGGGCACTTAATTAGTGGGCGTATGTCGGCCTGTTTGTTTATGTTTAAATGTCTGTCGGCTTCGGCAAACATTTTCCTACACTCATTCGCTTATTCTGTGTTTGCTTGCCTTTTTTATGAAAATGTTGGGGCTTTTTTTACAGAGGCTTGCAGGTACTCTTTTAATGGAAGGCGATTTATTCAAAACAGATGGTATCCCGGCTACTAAAATTAGTCTCCCCACTTATTTTGCGTATTTTATTGTTTATAAATTTAAAAATAAATTTATTGCCATTAAAAGTGTTTTTGAAGACAACCGAAAAGTTAATTACGTGTCATAAATAGTTTATATTAATCATAACACATTTTTTAATTTTCTTAAGTTACTCATTCATTCAAGGTTAAAGATAACAACAGTTTTAATGCTTCACACTTCACTTACTTAATTTTTGGACTAGCTCGCTGTGTAATTTTGTTTTGTGGTTATTCAAACGATTGTCCGTGGTCGAGGGGTAAACGCACAGAGTTTTTCATATTTTTGCCAGCATGACATTTGAATTTGCATAATTAATCAATTAATGCTGCGATTTTAGAGGGGAAATGGAAATGCCCGACGTCACGTGCATAAATTTTGCTCATGTGATTTGCGCTCGTTTCTTTTTCAATTTCATTTCTGAATAAAATTTTTAAGCCGCGCACGTGCTCCGACATGACTATGGCCGATATATCCGATCTGCATGGTATATTTGTGCATACGTGGACATATACATATGTATATAGATATACAAGTATACATCAAAAACTGAAAGGGGAACATTTAATTTGATATGCGCTTTGTTTGCCCAATGACATGGACATGTCAATTATTTAATGCTTAACGTTTAGTGCCTTATTGCATTTCAATTTTCCATTTTGCCATTTGACTCGATGCGTTTTTATCGCCGGCCATTCGATATTCACTCAAATTACGTGACGAGCATGCCAAGGAACAAAGAACTTGCTATTAAATTGGGTCCAAAATGTCTAATATTGCGATGCTAACTGAGATGTATTTGTAATTTGATGATAGCCAAAAAAGTCAAAAGATCCCAGGTTTTGATAGATAATGTTATTAAACATAACACGAAATTGCAGTTGTAATAATCATTTTTAATAATAATACATAATAATAATAAAATAAATTTGGAATGCATACATAAAAATAGAAGTATAAACAATTTTTTACACAAAAATCATTTTACTTCTAACTAGTTTCTTGTTCCAAATATAATACACCCTGAATAACATATAAGAACATTTATTTTTGGTATAAAATAATATTATAATTTTTGATTCGGGAGATAAATTTGTTTTCCTGTTTGTTTGAAATTGCTTTTTAACGATTGTTGTTAAAGAAAACACATCAAATTAATAGCCAATAAATTCAGAACTCAATTGAAAAATAAATTAAACAAAATTTTAATCGACTGAAAATTTTATTTATTTATTTAGCAATTTTATGTCGTATTTATTGACCATTAATTTTATGATTTTGCATTTTTTCACAATTTTGGTATAAGAGCGTAAAATGTTTTCCTTAAAAAAGGGATCTCCTCTGATACACCTGCAGAAAATTAGCATTTGGCTGACCCATTTTCTGGTTATTCCGATTTGTCTTTTTGGACTAAAAAGTATGGCCATACGACATTGGACTGTTGGAGGTTTAAGTACTTCCTCTCGTTTTTCGATTGTTTATTTTGGTTGAGGGGTTCGTCATTAGACGGCTTCAGCCTAATGGACGTGGCCTCTCCACCCCCCGAATACCCCCTTGGTTTTCCTCACCCATTTTCCTCAGTTTTCCTGTCATGTCTCACCTGCCAGTTGAATTGCATTTGATTTGATATTTTCTGTCATCTGTGCGTTGTTTGCTGCTCTTTATTTGGTTTTTCACTCCTCTGTTGTTCTTAGAATCATTAGTTTGTTTTCTGTTTTTTGTCTTTATGTATTTGTATCTTTTTGTCACGTTCGCCTCTCGATTTTCGTGATTTGGTTTTCATTTCTTGGGCTCTTGCCGTTTTCTTGTTGTTCTTCTCGCATCTATTTTTGGTACGAGCACAACAAAAATTAAATAAATAATATTGTCATTCTCTCAATTGCATTTGCGCTTTTTCCCCCATGATGCCTCAGTTATTCCTACAATTTAATCCACTTTTTATGGCTTTATTCGCATGTGGCCCAAATGTTTTTCCTGCTTTATGCGGTTGACTAATTGTCAGGAATTTTGTCGTTTTCATAATAATTTTGAGCGTACATTTTTCCCACAAAATGGGAAATTATTATAATCGGCAGTTGAAATGTTTATAAATTAATACGTTTTAAGATAATTTTTACATATTTGGTTTGAAAGTTTTAAGTATTTTTTTAATTTATATTTTTTTTTATTTTTTGCTACAGAAATGTAAATTTATTATTACTTAATTGGTGTTTTCTCGCACATATTTGTAAAATTAAATTTCGTTTGAGATAAAACCTTGTTTTAATCAAAACCATTGAGATTAAATGTTTATGGAGGCTAACTTTCAATTAAAAATCCATAAAAAATTAATAGCCCGTGCTGGTTATTTTTGCCAGAATTTCGTACCATATTTACACAAGAATCGACCTCCAAACAAAAGGCAACGTAAAAATGATTGATTTGCGGTTGAAAATGTTTCAGCATCCAGCGATACGTTGAGTACTTTATCTCACTATTTTGCCCATTCCACTGGCAATATAATTTCAATTTGCTGGCCGCCTCATTTGATTTAAATGTTCGGGGAATGTAAATGCATTTCCACTTGAATTCAGAGATCTTATCTTGACCAACCATTTCAGTGGGTTAAAGGGGTGCTTGAAAGGGGTCCCAAGGGGTTAAAAGCGGCATCGAGACAAATTCAGAGGAAAAATATTCAGTTGCTTGGCATTTGGTGACGTGCGGCGATCGTCCAACAGAAACAAAAATAAATAAATATAAATGTTGCGCATAAAATCTATTTTGACTCAAGGTCGCGTCATCAGTTTCTGTTTTTTTTTTTACCGCAGAAGAGGAAATTGTGCCGAAAAAGATGGTCAAATATTACAAGAAGTATGGGAAATGTAGTAGAGTATAAACATTGCGAATATCAAGGAAGAAAATATACCAAACTAGAGGAATAAAGGTTAAAAAAAAACATTTGACAAAACAATAAAAAATTATTTTAATTCTAGTAGTTTTCAGAAATAATTCGTATGTAAAATTGTATTTTTTATATTTTTGAATTAAATAAAGTTATTATTTAATGGCTATTAATAGTTTTTGAATTACATATTAAAAGTCCCAGGAAATGGCCTATAAATAACGTAAGACACAGACTCGTTATTCTAAATGTTTAAGTCGCATTAATCAGCAGAAACAGGGCTCTTCTGCACCTTGATCTACATTCCAAGATCAAACCGAACCAGTTTGTTCTTCCGATCCCACGAAGAGATCTCACCCAAAACGCATGAATAGATGTTCTTTGATGAAAAAATAAATAAGGGAAAAAAGCGAAAAAAGCGACCCCGCGTTAGATTGTTCAATTATTCAATTGGTGACTTCGAGACGGCGGCAAACAATTTTGATTATATTTATTAGATGCCGGATTAGCTGCGCTGGCTCTTGTGGCAATTGCGTTGAGTATACGCCATGTATGCGCCCCGAAGTAGCTTAATTCTTTTCCATCACACATGTGTTTCACATTATTTTTGTTTTTGCTGGAGGACAGAGGACAGAGGAAATGAAACGAAAATAAAAATGTCTTGTGATGGAATTTAAATTGAAATGGATATTTTTATCGGCTTTTGTGAGTAGTAGAGACATCTTTTCAATTCTGTTCACCTTACCCACCCAATTCTTCTCGCCCGCCGACTATGCTAATGTAGCCCTGTATCATACTATATACCTGACTGTATGTACATATAAATACCGGCCAGAGATGTTCCTGAATGATCTCTCGAAAAATCTGCTCAAGTGTGTCACTTGAAGAGCGTACAAAACAATTCAATTGATTGGAGTATATTTGATCAGCGCTCGACTCGACGCTCAAGAGATATTCAAATACATTTTGCGAAAAATATATTCAAATAAATTAAGATCACGAAAAGATGAGTTCAAATCATAAAGCATGAAAACATATTAAAAATGCAAAGCAACAATTTTATCTATCAAAAAACATTTTTGTTAACAAAAAAAAATGAAAGAACTTAAATAAGTCATTTTCATTCATGTTTCAAATTTTATATTTCTATAAAAAAGTTTTTTTTCTTTGCATTTTTCGTTTATTGAATATTGCCATTTGGTGTTTCTTAAAATACCATTGAGACCATATTTATTTAATTTATCAAGCTGCAAATATAAATATTTTTTCTCACGTGATTTTATTATAAATTCAATTAATACCTGGAATAATCGAGTTGTTTTAATGTTTTGTTGGCTGGTGATTTTCGCCGACTTTGTTTTGCTGCTAATTATATTTTGGTCATGCCAGCAAATCCATCAATTAAAGATGCTTTTGTGTGTTTGGGTACTGAGTATTAATTAATGTTATTCAAACATTTTCACATATTTTTATGGGATTTCATTTTAAAATTTTCCATACTTTTGCAGTACATATCTATCACAATTGTCAACATTTGAAACAACAAAAAATGAAAAATAAGCAAACACGACCAGTATGACTATTTTGCACTATTTTTGTGCCGAAAATGAGAAAACGTGTATTTAAAAATAAATAATACAACTTAAGTATTGGCCAGCATAAAATCAAACAAAACGTCCAAAAAACAGAAGAAAAAAAAGAGCGCGCAGAAATATTTAAATGAAAATTGTTTGACACTTGCCGTTGGCTTTTCTAGTTTTTCACCGAAAAAGCGCCCGAAATTATATGACAGCAAAAAAGGAGCCAATAGAAAAGGCATCATCGCAATGGGAATGCAAAATATTTGCATCTAAATAAAGGCTCAAAACCGATCAAATGTGCAGTCATCGGAATCAGTAGATATTTGGATAAAAACTGAATTGATTATTAAATTTGATTGTGCTTTGCTAGTTGACGTTTATTTCAGTCGGTTTATTTCATTTTTTTGCCAATGACATATTAAATTTTTGTCATTTATATTTAATGTCATAATTAATGTCATATACAATTTCAAATGCATTTTAAATTTGGCTAATTAATTGCATGTCTTAAACACTTTAAGTGTAATTATTAGTTATAATTATTTTGTCAATTCAATTTATGAATGGTTTACTTTAATGAGCTCACTTTATTTAATGCTATTAAATACACTAATTACAATTTTTTTAGCGGCTTTAATTTTGTGTTAAGCAATTTATTCATTCAATTTTCTTCTCACTTGAAATATAAATCTGTATCAATGTTAAAATTAAATTTTCTTAGTAGTGTGCTCTTTACTTCAATTTTAATAAGAACTTTTAAGTTTTATACAAATTTTTTATGAAATGATCTTTATTATAATTTTTAAACACTCATTTGATTTATCAGATACTTTGATCTACAAAATGTATTGCATCTTATTTCACATATATTTAAAGTGGTAATTTTTTACATCGCATAAAAAAAAATACAAAAAAATTATGTTTAACAGCACACACACACACCCGAAATGTGAAAAGAGCGAGACAAAGGTGGGATCGTATCGGATTGGCAAAGATCACGCCAGAGCATCGCGAGGAGACTGAATCGCCCGATCGGCTATAGCGGATATGTGGCCGGACTTCGGGCAGGTGTGCGAGCGAGAGGGCGAGAGGGCGTGTGGGATCCCAACTCAGAAAATAAGAAAAGATCATCATCATACGACCGCCATTTAATTTAAGCGAATTCGGCTCGATTAACAGCTAAAGAACGAGGAACGGGCGATACTATAAAATTCCGACCTCTTACAGGTGTCCGCGTTTATAGCTTTTCTTCGAATACAACATAGCAGACACTTTTTATCACAAAAGCTTTCACAGTGAACACATAAATGAACTCCAAAATTGTTGAGCAATTTGCCTTCTTAACCATACATATTTTAAACTTTTATTATTTAAGACTCGCTTTTAAAAATATTAGCATTCATAAGATATTATTCAATTATACACAATGGTTTTCTATTTAAAGAAATGTTTAAATGAAGGTGAGCAATCTTAAATATATATGGTGAATAAAATTGTATCCATTGTATTTACTCAGTATTATTATTTAAATTTACTGTCCCTTTAAAACAAAAATATATTTATGAATATACATAATTTATTTTAAATATAATATAAAGAACAATATATTGTCCCATGCAGTTTTTAACACATATGGATAATTTTTTATATATACAAATATTTTGCCATTTTTCCCACTTTAAATGATTTATACAGTAGTTTGTATACTTTTGTGGTTCAAAAATCAACTAAAGCATTTGGGCAAACTTTTGACTTGGTTGTGAACTCCGGATATGGACATTACTTTTTGGGAGGGGATGGTGGTGCCTTAGTGGGTGGTTTTTGGGCGGGTGGTGCGGCGGCCTTCGGTTGCTTTGCAGCCTTGGAGGCCGGTGGTTTGCCCTTATTATCGCCAGCATCCTTGACAGCCTTGGGTTCTTTGGCGGCCTTGGGATCTTTTACAGCATTGGGATCCTTGGAGTCCTTCTTAGCCTTACCCTCCTTAGCCTTACCCTCCTTGGCCTTACCCTCCTCAGCCTTGCCCTCCTTGGCCTTACCTTCCTCAGCCTTACCCTTCTTAGCATCCTTTTCAACAACTGGCTCCTCCTTGATCTCGCTGGCCGGCGTCTTTTTGGGCTTGCCAAAACACACTTCCGCCAGCTTGATGTGCTCCAGATTAAATCCGGATACTCCACGGATCTTTCCATCCACGTTCTTGGCATATATATCCGTGTGGAGCTCGTGGAGATCGACCTCCTTGTCGGCGCTAGCCTTGTTGCACTCCTTGTCGACCTGCTTCTTGGTCTTGTCCTCCAGGATCTTTAGCTCCTCCTCGTCGGCGAGGCATAAGGCGATTATTTGGCTGCGGAAACTGATGATCGGATCACGTTGCTCCCTCACCGCCTGGACTTCTTTCCTCGACCGATACGAGGTGCCCGGGTCGGACATGGAATGCCCAACATATCGGTACGTACTCATCTCGAGGACAATCGGTCCCTGATTGAGGGCGTAGTCCAAGGCAAACTGGGTGGCACTGCGAACGGCTAGCACTTGGTTGCCATCGACCCACAGGCCCGGGATATACTGGCCCCGCATGTAGAACTCCGTCATGGCCGAGGCGCGCTTCTCGTGGGTGCCCATGCCGTAATGATTGTTCTCACAGACGAAGATGCAGGGCAGGCACCACAGCTTGGCCATGTTGAAGGACTCGAAGACCTGTCCCTGATTGGCGGCCCCATCGCCGTAGAGCACCACGCAGACCGCATTATCGTTCCGGTAGCTGTGCGCCAGAGCCACGCCCGTGCCCACCGGCACCTGGGCACCTACGATGCCATTGCCGCCGTAGAAGTTCTCGGTGTACATGTGCATGGAGCCACCTTTGCCCCGGCTGCAACCGGTTCGCACGCCCAGCAACTCCGCCATTATCTCGTGCATCGACACGCCCATCAAATAGGTCCAGGCATGACACCGGTAGGCGGTGATCACCGAATCGCATTGGCGAAGGCACTGCTTCATCCCAACGGCCACCGCCTCCTGGCCCGTGTACAAGTGGCAGAACCCACGGATCTGACGCTGCTTGTAGAGATTCCCGGCCACCGTCTCCATTCGCCGCACCTCCAGCATCTTGGTGTACATCGCTAGGGCGTCCTCCCGCGACAGCTCCACGTCCATCGTGGGTCCCGTCTCCAGATCGTAGCACTTGAACGTCTGCAGTGGAAAGCGTTGGTAGGCATTTGATTATGATTCGGAATGAGTTAATACGATTACACTGTTTTATAAAGAATAAATAATTGGAAAACTCTCAACCTTCTCTCAATCTGCATGTCGAAACAAATACTTAGTTATTTAAAATTGGTATTACGAAATCTTGAAAAGAGAAAATTATTCAACTTAGAAAGTACCGGTGGGCATATAAAGTACATGTGTATCTTATATGGTAAAGTATTGAAGGTATTTAAATAGTATAATTTGTATGTTATAGCTTGAATAATATTAAAATTGATCTTCGATACTGGCTCTTAGCATGCTCCCCTATATTTAAGATAAATGAAACTATAACATCACCGAAATTCTTTCTTAAAGCAAATATTTAAATCTATTAAGAGTTGACTAGCTCTAAGGTGTTTCTAATTCCATTCCAGGCACTCACATTCTCAAGGGTCAAGCAACTGCACTTGTGACGCCCGAAGATCCTGGACGGGATTTTTGCATCCAAAGGAAGGTGGACTCCGCTGCATCTCGTCAGCAAGCGGAGTGGACTGGACTTCATCATTGGACTCCTAAACAACTGGACACCTGGATGAGCCGAGTTGCCACGTACTTAAATTTTGAAATTTGTCGAAAAAAAATAAGCTTTCATACAATTTTTAGTTATGCTAATAAGCAAAGAAGTAAACGACATTAAAAGCAAATGAACATCGAGCGAGATGGCAACTGTCACAGAACAGACAGAGATGCAAACAAAATGTTTTTCGAAAGGGTTCATTTCGCTTTAAGAAATGCGCCTCAAATATCTTATAATATAAAATAATTTCTTATAAAATAAACAATAAAACATTTCCATAGTGGGTTGGAGAAATGACATATGAGGTTATCTCATTAATTCTATTTTACAAGTCTTATAAATTCATCATTTTAATTGACCAGTGAAAACTAGATTTAAGGTATTGCGGAACTATTTTAATAATGATATACATAATATATTTTATATTTATCCAAAGTGGCAAACAAATAATCAAGACATGCAAACTATTTTAAATATACTTTGGGTTTTGCAATACTCATACTCTTTAAATTCCCAATCGATCGGACCAATTTTCAAATATTCGCATATGTATATCGAATGGGACCCATGTAACTCCTTCAAACCTTGGGATTGCTGTAAAACAAAATCTTCAAGATTTCTAAATTCCAGCTACTATTAGTTAGTAAGTTACAACTGCATTTGGTTAATTTTTCTAGGTATGTATATTTTAAACAATTTACACCTCACTTTATCCTTATTGAACACGTTCGCAATATAATAATATCCAATGCAGTTACCAAGAGTAATGTGGTGCGCTACGATGTGGTTGGAGTGCTCCGATTAGCTAAGCTTTTGTGGGTCTCTTTTGGGTCCGATCTACGGGGTTCTCATCATTTAACATTCGGCTTAAGAGCTAGAGATTTCGCTTGTGTCTAAGTGTCTGAGTTGTGTCTTCGTGTCTGTCTGTGATTGTTTTAGTTGGTGTTTTAGTGTATCTTCGATTTTGTCTCTTGTGAGTTCCCGAACCAGATTCGTCGGCCCGATGACTTAGTGATTGACACCCTTGCGCTCCTGGATGTGGTCAATATCGTAGGCGATAATGCCGCGCAGCTTGGGTTCCAAGTTATTGGAGTAGACGTCCGTCCAGAGGTGGCTCACGCCCAGTTCGGAATCGGATTTAGCGAAGGCGGTGGCCTCGTCGACCTCCTTGCGCACCTTCAGATCGATGGCCTGCAAAATGGTCATTATGTTAATGCAATACTTTTTATGGGTAGCTTTACCAGCCAATCAATAACTTTCTCCCCAACTGGCTAACTTATACACAAGTCCAAAATAAACGCACCTTGACTTCATCGGTGGTGATCAGACCGAGCTCGATGCACAGCTCCTTGAAGGAAGTGATGGGATCGCGCTTCTGGCGCACCTCCTGGATCTCCTCGCGCGTGCGGTACGAGGTGCCCGGATCGGACATCGAGTGGCCGGAGTATCGGTACGTGTTGGTCTCCAAAACCAGAGGTCCGTGGGTGTTCACATAGTTGATGGCGAACTCCGTGGCACTGCGCACGGCCAGCACATCCATGCCGTCCACCCAGATTCCGGGCAGGGCGTCACCGCGGGTGTAGTAGTCCGTGTTGCAGGACGCACGCTCCGAGCTGGTTCCCATACCTTTGATGGAAAAACGGGAGTTATTGTTTATGAATTTAGTACTTCAAGAAGCTGGTAAATACATAAGTCTAAACACTTGTAAATGGTGAAGCAGCTGTTTCTTTAAATGTTAAAAAAGATGCCGCTGCATCGCTTACAGCCAGTCGCAAGTTACTACCCACCGTAGTTGTTGTTCTCGCAGACGAAGATCACGGGCAATTTCCACAGGTAGGCCATGTTGTAGGCCTCGAAGACCTGGCCCTGGTTGGCGGCACCATCGCCGTAGAGAGCCAGGCACATGCCGCCATTGCCCTTGTACTTGCAGGCCAGGCCAACACCGGCTCCCAGGGGCACTTGGGCGCCCACGATGCCATTGCCGCCGTAGAAGTTCGGGGCGTACATGTGCATGGAGCCACCTTTGCCGCGGGCACAACCACCCTGGACACCCGTGAGTTCCGCCAGAACGCCACTGGGAGAGACGCCCATCAGGTAGGTCCAGCCGTGGACACGGTATGCCGATATGATGTTGTCCACATCGCGCATCGCCGCCTTCATGCCGACGGCACAGGCCTCCTGGCCGGAGTACAGGTGACAGAAGCCACGGATGATCTTCTCCTTGTACAGGTTACCCGCCGCCGTCTCCAACCGCCGGATCGTCTGCATCTGTGTGTAGTACTTGAGCGCCTCATCCTTAGTCAGTTTGACTTCCGTGGCGGGTCCTTCGTCGAGGCGGTGCAGCTTGAAGGGCTGCCAAAAGTAGAAAACATAAGGTATGTACATTATTATTTTTGAAAAAGGAATATTTTTCTTAAACTGGAATTTGAGCCTAACTCACTTAAGCAATATATGAAATTTGTATCTCTTAAACTATCAATAAAAAACATTCCCCTAACATATGTATGTACATATGTGTATTTCCTGCAGATCTTTAAGCATTTTTCATAAAAGCTTGTACTATCTGGAACTATTGCAACTTATTAGCAGATAAAATTGGTCAGGCATTTTCGGAAGTACTTCACAAATTGCCAAGCTTCGAGTTATTCGGCAATTCTGATTTATGATGGCTAATAATCAATGGCGTGAGAATCGAGTCAACGTAAACAGAGAGAGAGAGGGGTCGAGAATCGGGGATCTCAGATAAGGCTATATGTTTTATAGTGCGTGAACAGTCACGCGGCGGCCACGCAAAGAGCAGACGGTGATAAAGAGCGTGGGAGATGGAAAACTACAAAAAAAAAAAGATTACTTCGTGACCTTGTCATTTGAAAATTAAATTGACCGGCAAAAACGCAACCCTGCATTTTACACACACATACCAAAAATTAACAGTTGCTATCTGGCAAAAAGCGCATTATGTAATACTATATTTTTTTCGTCGTATATCATATGCAGTTAAATTTACTTATAGTTCTTACCCGATTCACTGAGATGGTGGCCTCCGTGGCATAATTGTTCGATTTTGAAGCACCTGCTTGGGCTGCATTCTGGAATAGACCGAAAAACGACGATGAATATCTTCCATTTCCGATGTTGTTGTTATATATCCTCCTGTTGTTGTTATGCTTTTTGTGTTTATTTTTTAAGGTCGTTATGTTGGTAGTTTCAAATTAGTGATATTAGTGGGTGTAGAAAGGGGTTTACGTACTTTTTGAAGTTGCTTAACAATAATGGGCAATTCGCTAACGCGTGACAGAGTACGGAACATTTTCGCTTTTTTTCTTTTCTCGTTCGACTGATGGAAAAATTGGTTGTGAATGGGGTTCCTAAATGATGGGTTTATCCTGATCTAATCGCACGATTTATCTGTCTCAGTCGCACCGCCGCGCGTCGTTAAAACCGCAAAAAAATAGCGATTAGTTTATCAACTACTATATTGCACAACAACAGTGTGACCGCTGATAAAATATACTGTCAGTAAAAATTACCATCAAAAAATACCAAAATCTAATCACAGTTTCTAATCATCAGAGTTTCCAACCATCAGAGTTTCCACCTTTGACCACTGTTATTTGTGATCATAAATAATTTTTTATTTTGTGTTAAATTTTAAAAATAAAACTATTTGTGATCATTTTTTTCAAAAAAGGATTCAAATTGCTTAAACGTTTAATACAAGAAGTCTCGATGTTTTTAAATATTCCACTATTGCTACATGCTAATATTGTAATTTATTTAACTGGTTTCAGTAGGTGTCTTTTTGTTAATCTTTTTGTGGCTTAATTTAGTTAGTTTCTAACTAACTGTTTAAGCTGGTATGCAAGTAAAATTAAAACAAGTTAATATAGTTTATGGTAGCAGGAAATACACCGATGCTTCCAAATTTCAGGTTACGAACATTTAACAATTTTTAAAAATGACCGGAGCCGAACTCTGGATAAATTTGAAAATTTATAAACTATATAATAATTTTTGAACACAACCAAGTACATACAAACCCAATTTTAATTTTTGCCCGCCCATTAGGTAACCAAATAATACGCACCCCTGCTTTCAAAGAAGTACTTTTATTTCACATTGAAGATCTCATTTGGTTTTTCTTTCTTTCTCATTTCTTACTCGTATTGTTACTTTGAAATTGCCTCCATTAATCCATATTCGCGATTGCAGTTGCAAAAGCGAACTCCGCTTTTAATCGCCTCAACTCACATAATTTACTAATCTCTTACAAAAACTAAAGTAATGTTTGTTTCTTGCACAAAAAACCAGTTAAAAAGATATAGACAAAGTAGAATATTAAACAGATAAATCGAAATAAGTGGTTTACAAACTAAGTTTTAAACTAGTTTTTGTATTTGTTATTTTTTAAAATAGAAATGGCAGCTAAATATTTGAGTTTCAAAAGTTTCTACCGGAAAATGAGAAAATGGATAGGTCGATTGAAAAAAAATTAAAAAAGGAAAAAATCAATTTTCCACTTTCTTTATCTCATCGCTCTTATACCGTTAATTTTTCGAGTTTTTCTGGTTTTCGTTTTTCTGTTACATCAAAAATTGGTTTCTCACACAAATATTTTGCATTATGACAAAAAAGTATGCTCTCTTTTATATGTATACATATATATATTTATATATATATTTGTATATATAAACACTTATTAGAAGTCCTCATGTGTGTTTTTTGTGTTTTTCTTTCCCGTTAGAAATTCGCCATTCTGATTTTTAAGAAAAAAATTGTTTTTTCATCCCTTTTCTTCATTTTTTTGTGAGTGTATGTGTGTGTGTGCGTGGGAGGAGTGTGGGTGTGTGTGTGAGTAAGAGAAGAGGTCGTATTCTTACCGTTAGCATAAATAGTTTTGTGTCTACGCAAAAACGTGCTGAGCAATAATTCTAAAAACGCAATATTTAAATAGAGAGAGGTGCTGTATGTGTGTTTGAAAAGTATCGGTAAATGTACGAACGTGTCCTTTTGTTTGAGTGTGAGGGTGGATTTGTGTAAGTGCTGCATATGTATATGTCTTCTGTTAGGAAATTACGTATTAAGCTTCATTTTTTTTTTGATTTTTAGTAGGTTTTACTTAAGTTCTTGCTTAATTTACACCAATGTTTACTTTATTTTGTATTTCTTGCATGAATATATATATTTTACTTTGTTTCTTATTTACTGTTAGCTTTCATTCCTTTAAATTTTCTGTTTTTTGCATAACATAAATCCGATTCGAAAACACATAGCACACATTTATATAAACGACAAGATGATAATTATATTTTCCTTGGGTTGTTCTTGGTTTTTTTTTGCGTTTGCTTTCGGTTTTCTCCGAATTTTTCTTTCGCTTTTTTCGGTTTTATTACTGCTTGCAGTTCTACAAAAATTTTGTTGCATACTTTGCTGCTGTGGATGGACAATACATATACACATACACACATAATATTCGATTTGCTTGTGATTTGTTGCTGTAATTGTTGTAGTTTGTTCTTGTTGGCTAGCAATCCAGGGAAAAAAGCGAGAAAAAGGATTTGATTAGGGAATTAAGAGGTAGATGTAGGGATAAATAGGCGAACATAGAGGTTTTTTTTGGGATGGGAAAATCCATGTCCAAACACACACCGATTTGGTTTTCTCGTAAGCAATGAATAATACATTGTTCGGGAACACAGAGAAAAATAAAACAATACAATAAACATGTCCAATAAATTGTTTTAAGGTTATGATCTTAAATTAACAGCTCAAATGTATCATCTCAAATAATATTAAATTAAATTCTCAAAAGTATATAATTCTTATGTTGAAAATAGAATCGATATTTAAAAATCTATTATTTCAAGATATTCTCAGATAACAGAAAAAATATTTGATATTGTTATAAGCACATATATTTAAAAATATAGTATTCGAAAGCTAAATAAAAAATATATATTTCGAAACGGCAAATAAAAATGTTCTCTGTGTATATATCAGGTGTGCAGAAAAGTGTCTATATATGTGTGTGTATGCAAATTTCACATTATACTATTTTTTTCTTATATATTTTGCTTGGTTTCCGTTTACACGTTGAGTTGAGTTCAATACACATAAATAATCCATCCGACAGAAAAATATGTGAGTTTTCCTTACACAATTTGTTTATCCTTTTTTACTTTGCTCGTTCGGTTGTAGTGGTGGTTGTTGCCTGTGCTATGTGTACATTTGTGTGTGTGTGTGAGTGGGGGGGTCCTCGCCTCTGCTAAGCTCCAACGAATTTTAAATAAAAAAAATAATAAATAAATACAACACAGGGGGGTTTTTTGGTTCATTTTTAGTTAACAGTTGTTTAATTACGCATTTGCAGGTTTTTGTAAGTAAATTATAAGGCCAAACAAAGCGCCAGCACATCACAATACATTTGTAGCCAAAGAAAAAAAAAATAATATAAGTAAACAGAATCATGGGGCGACGAATATGCAACCCCAAAATTACCAATTTTTTTCGTAAAGTCAAGGTTGTGGATGGGAAATGATGATTTCAAAACTAAACCGCGTTGGTTTTCATGCTTTTTCTTCGAGTGTTTGTGTGTTCTAGTAGCGTTTTTTTTAAACTTTTCTAGTCGCTATTTTTTCGAGTCTTATCCAGCGTGACACATAATGAAAGGAATACCTTCAACAATTGGTTTTATGGGTATGGGTATTCCTTGCATTGAATAGACATATGTATGGTGCGTGTGGATCTTTTGTCTTTCTATGGAAAGAACATCGTCTATGGAGTTTTAGCTTTTTGGGGGGCTGATAATGGTTGTTCCTCCTCCCCCTGACTTTCCTCCAGTTCGGCTCGGCGACAACTACTACAGCTGGTGGCATCGCTATCTTCCACAATGGTGCCATCATCATCGTCGTCGTCCTCGTCGTCGCCTTCCTGCTCATTATTCTCCCCATATTCTGTATCCTGATCGTCAGTTTGTTCCATATCTGAATCTTCTGTATGTTCGTGTTGCTGTTGTTGTTGGTCTTCATCTCGCTGTTGCTGTTGCTGCCTTTGTTGTTGCTGCTTAAACTCCTCATCTGGCTTTTCGGTCATCATTCCCGCATCCTTGAGATGTCCCTGTTGCTCTTGTTGCTGCTGCTGTTGTTCTTGTTGTTGTTGGTGCTGTGTTGTTTGCTGTTGTTGCTGTTGGTTATGTGGTTCTTGCTGTTTCTGCTCTAGATCCTCGTCCTCTGATGCCACGAAATGCGACTGCTGCGCCTGCTGTTGTTGTCGGTGCAGCTGCTGCATCTCCATCAGCCTCCTCACCACCACTTCATCCGACTCGACAATACTTTAACCGCTCTTAAACAATAAAATGGCCACCTGGCCCAAATAGAAATAGATGAAGTGGCGCGTCTCGTGGGTGACATACGATCCAAAGTTGCGGCCCACAATGCAATGCCATGTGGGATTGTATTTTTTGTCGAACTCCTTCTTGATGTAAGCGGCAATGTCCTGCAATAAAATGGAAATAATGCATTAGTTATTTGGTTTAAAATTTTAATTTTAAATAAAACATTGTTAACAATAAAAACAAGAAAGGAAAGCTAACTTCGGGCGGAGCCGAAGTTGAAATACCCTTGCAGAATATTCTGCAAATTATATTCTCCAAAATCATTCATAATGCATTCTTAATACTCATAAAAAATCCCAACTTCCTAACTTTAAAAACACCAAAGTTATGGCATTTCCAATCGTTCACTTATATGGCAGTTATAGAATATAGTCGGCCGATCCTTATGAAATTTGATATGTCGGATTGATTAGGCAAAAATAAAACCCATAGAAAATCCCAACTTCCTAACTTAACAAACACCAAAGTTATGGCATTTCCGATCAATCAGTTATATGGCAGCTATAAGATATAGTCGGCCGATCCTTATGAAATTTGGTACGTCGGTTTGATTGGCCAAATATAAAACCCATAGAAAATCCCAACTTCCTAACTTTACAAACACCAAAGTTATGGCATTTCCGATCAATCAGTTATATGGCAGCTATAAGATATAGTCGGCCGATCCTTATGAAATTTGGTACGTCGGATTGATTGGCCAAATATAAAACCCATAGAAAGTCCCAACTTCCTAACCTAACAAACAGCAGAGTTATGGCATTTCCGATCAATCAGTTATATGGCAGCTATAGGATATAGTCGGCCGATCCCGGCCGTTCCGACTTATATACTGCGTGCAAAGGAAAGAAGGGTGTGTGCAAAGTTTCAATTCGATATCTTTAAAACTGAGAGACTAGTTCGCGTAGAAACAGACAGACGGACAGACAGACGGACAGACAGACGGACAGACAGACGGACAGACGGACAGACGGACAGACGGACAGACGGACATGGCTATATCAACTCAGGAGGTGATCCTGATCAAGAATATATATACTTTATAGGGTCGGAGATGTCTCCTTCACTGCGTTGCACACTTTTGACCAAAATTATAATACCCTCTGCAAGGGTATAATAAGGCTCTTGAGTAATAAGTGTTCACCTTAACACACAATAATAGAAAACACACCATTTTAAATAGATCAATCTTTCTTAGTTTGCATTAAATGTTTAAGATAAAATAAATAAAAACTTGCACTTTCTTTTATGGCAAATCATAATCTAATATTGATGAGTTTTACTTGCAATAGACTGTTACACAGTTTTTCCCTGCGCAGCTGCCAAATTGTCGAACAAGTTAACGCCACATTCCATAAAGCTGTCAAAAATGCATTGGCAAGAAGAGAACAACTAAAAACGGAGGAAAACAAGTGTAAAGCCCCGTAAGCGAGCAAGTCAAAAAGAAAAACAAGGGAAAACAAATGCTTAAGTGGCTGCTAACTGTTTCGAAATTAGCGGCAAACGGCAAACTCAATAAAATGCCAAACGAAAAACTTATTTTCCCCACCCCGAGTTTCCTCCTGGTTTTCCCAACCCAAGGGGTCTGTCACTGGGGTAACCCAAAATGTGACCTCAAAAACAAAAAGCAAGGCAAATTCAAACGGGGGAGTGTCGAGGTAAAAGTTGTTGTGCTAATGAGTTAGTTATGATTGTTGTGGTATTCCCATTAAGCAATTTGGTTGAAATTAAAGCCCAGTTTTTGAGGCAAGGCTAATTATGTATGTTCACACTAAAAACCACAAAGTGAATGCGACTAAAACAGGTAAAATAATGAGAAGAAGGACTGAGAAAAAGTTGAAGAAAGGGTGGAAATAAATAGCGCAAAAAGGGTAAGCAAACACAAGTGCTAAAGTGCAAAATGGTGGTATAAAATACTAGAAACACTGCGTTGAAACCCATGCAGTTTAGTCCGGCAAATGTCAAAGGTCATTGTCAGTCGCTTTGGCGGCTAAATCCAGGGTTACGCAAACACACACGCAGCAGCCAACAACCCACATATATATAGTGAAAGTACAATGGAGGTCAGATAAATATAAGACCCAACTTTCAAGGAAATTTATAGCCCAATTTAAGAGCTCAAATGATGAGCTCCGTCATCAAAGAAAGTTGTAATATCGGATTTTTACTAACTAAAATGTAATTCCCAGTTTCAGTCCATCAATTCAGAAAGATAGCATTTTTAAAGCTGGTACCTCAGATTTTTGTCAAATTATCACGACCTCATCTGTTTTGCAACATCTGTGGCACAAAGAATGCAAAAAGTAGATGAAGCTTTAAAAATTATAGCAGGAGTGGGAAGAATAAAATTGTTCTGCTCCGAAAGTTGAGGCAATCTGAAAGTTTTGCTTTCGCCATACTTTTGGGCGTCACACTTGGAGTCGATTTCATTTAGTCATGGCGGGTCAAAACGTGGGTTGGGTTTTTGGTGGAACTACGAAGGTAGGGCCACCCTCCTTGCAGGGGAATGCGTGCTAGCAAAGTCATAAACTTAACCCGGTAACCCCAAAACAAAAACTGAGAAAATAACGAACCAATAATAAAACAAACAGGACAAGCGAAGAAAGCCTCAACAAAAAACAAAAGAAAAAAACAATATAAAGCTGATTTAGTTGAGTGCCATTATCCAATTCCTTCTTTAAGCTATCCTTCAATCAAAGTTGTCGTGTTGTACAGTCGTACTCCTTTAAGTTAATACCTTCTACTATATTCTCTGTAATCAGATATAAAGCATAGTTTTCTAAAATCATTTTGGATATAATATCCTTTAACGAATGTTATTATAATTTGAACGAGATGTTCTATTATGTGCCTCTGTTTTGTGGATATTTAATTTAAAACTAAGGATTTAAGAAAATATTTTTTCAATCTTAAGTGATTTGCGACTGTAATGAAATCCTTTAGCGATCGTTGATATTAAGTCATTACAGAAATTCTCTATTTTTGTTGGAGTTTCTTTTCGACCGTTTCTTTTATTTATTTATTTTTTTTGTTTTTATTTTTTGTTTTAAGCCTATTGCGTGCACATTTTTTGTCGTGTCAGACGACAATAAAAGTTGATTGTTTTATATTCAATTTGGTTTGGGGTGAGACCTCTTTTGCAACCTCCCCCATAGCAATGCCATGGAATTTTGTTTTGGCAACGCCAAAAATATTCAAAATGAACATTCTGACACACAAAAGGGGCAAAAGGGTGTAAAAATCAAGGGGGTTCGGATTGGTGCTTTTGTGCACCACTAAATAAGGCAATGGTATGTGAATATAAATATATATACACAACATATGTAGCCTAATGAAATCGACATTGCAATTTTGGTCATAATTTGAGAGGTTTAAGGAAGGCAGGCAACTGACACATATTGGCAGGAGTGATGCCCCGCTGCCTTCAATGTAATGAAGAATTTCTTTATTTTTGATTGGCATACAGGAAATTCATATTTATACAGCATTTATTTTCTGGCATTTCATATACCATATCATCCTTAGGTTAATATTAATCTAATATAATTTACAATAATTTCCATAAGATAAAATAAATGTAGTCATTCTTGTAAAAAAAGATAATGATTAAGTCTTGGCAAAAATATTGTCTTTGGTTAACTCAGTATTGAAATGAAAATTGCCTTAATATTCTTTTTATTAAACAAAGTGTCACAAAACTCGGCCCAAACATTTAAAACTTGCAACTGTTAGCAAACAAAAAATGAAAACACTTTGAGAGCCGTCAATAAAATCCTGCAAGAAACACAACAGGATAATTCCCTGTCCATTTAGACCACACCTGGAAAATATCCCCAGGCTTTTGAGCCGAAACAAATATGCCTGGACACGTTTAAAGGAATGGAAAAACAAACGGAAAAAGGAAAACTCCGCATTCGATGAATGTGTGTCAATAAAAATGGATGCATGTGCATGTGTTTGTTTTTTACACACACACAATCTATTTACATACAAATATTCGTCTGCTGCCCGCATATTGATTAAACATTTTGGCCACGCAAAAAATCACAGGCAAAACCCATCAAAAATATAATAATAAAAAAATGCATAAACTTGCCGCAACGATTGAATGCAAAAATGTTTGTCTCCTCGTTTTAATATTTTTTTTATATATATTTGTTTACAGGGTTCCGCCTTTTGTGCGATACAAGACCAAAAAAAAGTCAACTGAAAGGATATAACAGCGTGTGAAATGCAGCCACAAAGTGTAGAACAACTAATTAAATTCGCTTTTAAAAATTTTATAAAGCTTATTTCGTTGGGTGCAAATAACAAAAATTCTTCTTTAAAATAGCTTTCAATCAAAGTTGTCATTTTAATGGTAGTATTTATATTACTTTTCTCATTTTCAGTAAATTTATCTTAATAAGGTTGTAGGTTTTAAACATAACGACTAAAACAAAACCTCTCTAGTCTTTGAGTGACATCCAAAAGTTGTCTATACTTTGTAACTTCATTAGGGCATACTTTAATAAAATATAATATAAATTACATTGCTTTTTTTTACTATTTTCCTATTAATTGGTTATATGATATTGATGAAGAATTTAGTTTTGAATTTTTAATTGAAATTTCAACTTTAATTGTGACTTTGTTTACTTAAAACATGCATTTGCCTACCGCAAACTAATTACATTTATTTTGAAAAGCTTAAGACAATGAAATAATTGAATTGTAAATTCATTTTCTGCGGTCCTGCTGCCGTTTTCCTCATCCATTTAATTTTTTTTTTGGCCCTCTTGTTGGCTTATTTAGGGCTTTGCCTTTAAATCGCGGCTCACACACAAACACACACTCACAGTTACAAAAATACATAGAAATACTGGAGGCAACATAATGCCTATGGATACGATTTAAGCTGCTTGAAAGGTTGCGCGCCCCTAAAAATATATACACAAGGTACAGCAACAACAGCACCAGTGGGCCAATGCTTAACCCTTGTGTGCCCCAAGGGGGTGGCATAAGCCCCCGAGCCCCCCTCTTTTTTTTTTTAGCAGTATTAGTTGCGTATCTAATGGATACCAAAAACTGTTTTTGCCCCACCCCACACTTTTTGTGTGTCGCCTGATTGGAATTTTGAACCTATAATCAGATAGAACAAAATCGGGAAATCGAAACAGTTTTTTTTTCGCCGCATTAAGCAGGTCAATTATTGATTCAAAACAATATTGGCATAGCAATAGCTCCTTCTAAAGCTTAAATATCGATGCTGTGTGTTCCTTCTCTCCCAATTTTAGTCCACTTGTTTTTATCATTTTCCATTAGTCGACAGCAATTAAATTTGTGTGTTCACCTCGCAGAAACAAAGACAAAAATACATATTTAATTACCTACAAAAAAAAAACATACACACAGTGAAAAATAATGGCTTACTTATTATTATGCAATAACAAGTGGGAAGAGGAAGATGAACCAGGAGGGAAAGGAAAGGAAAAGGGGAAGAGGAAGAGGGAGAAAGAAAGGAAGAGTAAAGACAAAAAGGCAATCAATCGTGTGGCATATATTTTATTTATAGCAACCAGAGGTAGGCTCGAAATGGGGAGTGGTTCAGGTGTTTTTGCATTAGGTGTGGGCGTTCAGTTTCACCCCCCTATATTTTCCATACTCCTCTCACCGCAATAACAACATTCAAGAGAAGTGTGCGAGCAAAAACAAAAACTGTCGCATACTTTCAGGCCTCCAGGTCCTGGCCAATACAGTGAAAATCAATTAATTTCTACTTCAGTTTTTTGGAATTTTTAATGTCACCGAACAATGTTTTCTCGGTACAAAAAATAGGTTAAGTGGTAAATAATTAAAATCTACCATTAAAAGATATCCTTGTTGGACCAAAAAATAAAATTATCCTAGTTAAAAAAGCAATTTGAAACACCGTTATCTATCTTCGTTTTTGTTGTAAATACTCACATAATTCTCTTGTAGTGATAAAATACTTTTTTTAAGCTTGTTTCTTTCATGATTTGTTGAAATATTTATATTTCTGATGTTTGTTAACCGAGATCCACTGTGTACGCACATTTTGCTTTTACTGCTCAATTAGCAGACTCTCTCTCTCTCTCTCTCTATGGGTTTTCCTTCCCCATACTTCCCCTCTGGCCTTTTATCCACTTCCGCTGTGATTTCAAGTTTACTTTGCTTTGGTTTCAAGGACCCGCGTTTTTTTTTCCCACCATCTCCTATTCCATTTTCCCGATGTCTCAGTGTGTTGTCTTCTGCCATTGGCATTGACAAAGGGCCGCTAGTTGATGGCAATCCCCCGCAGCTTTCCACCCGCTTTTTCTCCGGATTTTCCCTCTTTTCCCGCTTTTACAGCTCTGTTTTTCACTGACCTCAGTCAGGGTCCGCACTTTGACCAGCGCACACGTTCCATTTACACGGAAAAAAATTCCCATTGCCTTTTCAAATTCTATATATAATAGTTAGTGTTGAACCCAAGAAAACCCAAAGTATGACATCACACTAAAATAAATAAATTTTCTATTAAATTTTATTTATGAAAACTAAGAAACGATCTTATGAAATAACGAGTAATGCAATTAATGTAATAAGTCCTAACTATGAGATCCATTTCCGTAAAAATATTATTTAAATTTTTCTCTGTGTACGTAAGTAGTGGGTGTGCTTGACAGTTTTCCTTCAAACGCAGTACCAATGCCCCCGTACATCTATTGATTATTCAATTTCTTCGACTTTGTTGACATTGTAGGCTGATTTTGCTTTTGTTATTGTTATTGTTATTCTTTGCATTCGCAGCCGACTAAATCAAGAGCTTATTTTAGTTGTTGTTTCGCCCCAACTTTGGACATTGTTAATGATGGTCAGTCCTCCGTCGATTTTCCGCCTTCCACACCACCACCTCTTTATCCTCGGAAAATCTCTTTAAGTCGGCTACTTTTTAGCCGAAGGTAAGTCACGGAAAATTGCCACTCTTAATCTCAACACAAAGAAAACATTGCAACTATGTTCTCACTCATTTCTGTCATCTTTAAAACACAATCTATGCGAAATTTAAGTTCATTCATCTAACAGATTTCTTATAAATATTATAAATTATTATATTTACATTTCAGCTTCTAATTAAAACAGAAATAAATATATATCCAAAAAAGCAAATTTCTTTAAATTAGTCTCCGAAATATTATTTTTAAATGCGAAATTAATAAATCTCCAGAGACTTTTCTCATAACGTTTTTGAATCTTTCATTAGCGAAACAATGTTTTTTTTGCGAATTACAAATATGCAGTATTCAACTGTTAATGAAAAAGCTTTTGCCTTTGCCATAAAATGCAGCTGGGATCATGATGATAAGGGCAAAGGTTAAGAGTGATAAAATTACAAAAATTCCCGGAAAATGCAGGCAAATATTGCACATTGTTTGTGAAAGGCGTTTTCCACCCGTTGAGAGCAAAAAGGAAAGGAAAACTGCGACGCAGTTGTTGTGGACGTAGGATGTGCGGGTGGAAATGGAAGTGGAAATATGGGGAGGCGGTGGGAAACATTGAACGGATGTGGGCGGAAAACCCAAAGGCTGCACCGCAAAATTGTGAAATTGCCAAACGCAGTTCAAACCACAAGTTTACAGTTTGGTTTTCTGTTTCAGAGCCCGAGATGCAACAATGTTTGATAGAGGAAAGCTCCTGCAACAACAAGGCATGTAAATCCAATTTAATTACGGTTTTGGAACAAAATAATAATCCAGTCACTAATATTTAATTACCTTATTTGTGGAATAATAAACTGAAGCCTTTAATTACGTTTGGTTTTGGTCAGTTATTAATCAAATTTATTTCACTTGTAAAATAATATGAAGCCTTTTCATTAATGTTTATGTGTAATTAAGCAATGGGCTCTTTAGAATGGTAAAATTGATACAAATTGAAATCGAACAAGCCAAAATTGTTGTTTGCTGTTGATTAATTGATGAACAACAAACTTAAGCAATCAATACAATTGGGCACCCAGAATTCCACCCACTAAAAAACACCTGTTGGTCCTGCCCAACCTCTTTCTCTAACCCTTTTTTCATCCCTTAATCAGTTGGTTTGATTACATGCAAACAGTTTTACTTTTATCACTTGAATGTATCAAACTGGCACATATTTTAATGATTTGAATTATGACCTAAGCTATATCATATTAACTATACCATTTTGTTTTTATTTTTTATCGAAGTTACCCCCTTTTTATATTACAATCTTCTTAATTTTAACTGTATTAAGCTCACCTTCTCAATGTTGTACTTCTCGAGGGCCTGTGTCGCACAATCGACGGCATCCTGCTGCATCTCCTCGCTCATGTCGGCATTTTTAATCACGGCCTTGCGATCAGACATTTTGGCTGATGTTTTTCTTTGTTTTTCACCTGGACTCGAATCGAACTCCTTGAAAAATGTCGCTTTTTAGCTGATCGGCTTTATAACTGCAAAAGATATAGGAGAGAGAAAAAGGATGAGCAACGCCACTAAAGAGAGGCGAGCGCATCGGGAAATGTAATTAGCATTTTCTCTAATTAAAGAGCGGGATTTAATCAAGTTAGCTCCGACACAACACACACACACCGAAAAAAAACAGAAGCTCGATATCATGCCAATATATCAGTTTTATATCAATATTTATTTACTCACTCAAAATTGTTCAATAGTATTAAGTTAGAAAGTTAGATCGATATAAATTTAATTTCCAAATGAAATTCTAAAATATTGATCTAAAATTCTGGTTCTATTTGGTTTATAAAAAAACCCTATCAAAATTTACTATCATATTAAATTAACTTCATGATTTCACAAATGCGGAAATCATGCCCATTCGTTAAAAGGTTTAAAGTAAAAAGGTTCAAATATTGACAAATAAAATATATTTAAAAATACTATAAGAAACTTATGAACTTATAACGCTCGTTGTTTCTCTGGGTACAAGATATATAACGCAGGCGCATTGCATACTTTTTCGGGAAAGTTTGCAAACACAGCAGAATGTCCTGGCAATTTAATTATAGAAACACAAGCAATACAAGGGGCAATATTACAAATCAAATATCAGGATCCACAGGATGACATATTAACACACACACACACACAGGGAGGCACAGACGAATACCAATGCCAATTAGCGGGCAATACATATATGTATGCATTTAAGTGTGGAAGAACAAGCGAGATGGCAGCAATGCAACATGGCCTTGAGCAGATGCTCTTTCTCTTACTCTCCCACAAATACATGGCCATGACAGAGAGGCTGCAACAACAACTAATTCAAATTCAAGGCTCACACCATGCACACATACATTAACCTCCCATTCCAATTGCTCTTTTTTTCGTAGCATACTTTTTTGAGCATTGCTTATTAGTTGCGGAAAAGCATAGGGAAAGCAATGCAAACAGTACAAAATACCAAGTGCGCTTGGTATTTTGCTATTGCAACCTCAAAATCAGCGAGTGGAAAATAGGGGGGAAAGTGGGTGGTACGGCAAAGCAACCACAACCAAATTCAGTCGCTAGGTTACGAATAGGGCACCCTTAGGTATCCTTTGTACTTCCATTTCGCATCCAATAGTCCCCCTTAATTTAGGAACTCCCGAAGTTAAAGCGAGCAGTAAAATCCGACATATAAGGCTAATAAAAACAAGAAAGGAAGCCAACTTCGGCAAGCCGAAGTTAATATACCCTTCCCTTCTACATTTAGATTTTTATGCGTATATGCTTAAGATTCAGGATGGATACCATAAAAACAATCTCAAATAGCTAATACAAATAATTATATCTATATGCTGGATAGATTTCAATATATAAAGAAATCCACCTTCGTGGATCGACTGAAAAATTATTAACTGTTCCTAAAATCTTCGTTTAGTTTAAATTTAAATAGCAAATACAGACTTGGTGGAGTATTATAACCTAATGGTTATACATTTTTGAACTTCGATTTTGTCTAAATCCGTATTCTTGTTTTGTTTTAAAATCAGACTTACTTTAAGATTTTTTTTAAATACAACTTGGACTATATAGCGGTTTACTTGCAATATGGTATGATTCCTCCTTAAATATCAGTGTTCTTCATTCAAAAACAGATAATCGAGTCCAATTCCTGTACTTCTCAATATTTTGTATATTTATTTTCAGTCCTGAAACGATGTGTTCCCGTAAGCAATTTGTTTCTAACTGAAATTTGTTTCAAATTCGCAGGTTCGTGTTTTTGACGTTTGACAGTAAAGTGCAGGGCAAATAATAACGGTAAAGCAGGCAAAATCTGTCAGTGGGCGGGAAAGTGAGAGTAGGAGGGAGACAACCGAGAGATGACAGGTGGCCAAAAGGCAATGGAGTGAGAGGGATGGCATGTGTGCATGTGTATGCTACAGCTTCCTCTTCTTCTTCTTGCTCTTTTGATGAAGTCAATTAGAAAACTGCATTGACAGTTAAACAGAAAGAGAGGGGAGATAGGAAGCGGAAGAGAAAAGTTGTATATTTATGAGCTATTCCTTTTTTTTTGGTTTCATTTCTGACATGAAATGAAATTATAAATGACAGGATGACAGCAAAGAGAGGAAAAGCGGGAGAGGTGGAGGGAGTGGGAACGAACGAGGCAGAGAGGATATGCACCTGCAAGTATGCAACGGTTTCAACACACACACATACGCGAGGTAATTGAATTTCCAGTTCGTTTGCAATTCGAAACCCGCGAATTTCCAATGCAGAAATCACTTCTAATGAGGGAATTTTCCTACTTTTGACAAATGATCGATGGAAACTGCGAAAAGCAAAGCGGAAACCGCAAACCAAAATTACCTGCGTTTCTATGCATAATTAAAATGACGTCAACCCGAAAACTTGATTTCACCGCAGCTCCAAAAAAAATAGACACCACAAAAAAAACCCTGTATTCCCACATATACAAAACACCATGGGAATTTTTCACATTATTAAAATTGCACAACGTTGCATTTTGCATTCAAGAACATTCACACGGGCTTATTAATCCCTCTTGCTATTTTCTACTACTTACCTTTTGTTTTTAGCAGATTGCGCGCGTTTATTTTTCACTTGGAGTTCAACAGCTGTCACCGAAAATAAGTCTAATGAAATTTAAAACTAGGAACGTAAAAAGTAGATGTTGGGGGCAAAATAGCCTTCTGGTTTTTTCTTCTTGTTAGCAATTCTGCACGCAATACAAATTTGGCACGCCGCGGCTTTTTGCACTTTTTTTAATCGGGAACAGAGAACGTGAAAAAAAAGCCCTTGCAGGAAAGCGTTTTCGTCAGGATTTCAAAACCGGTGGCAAAAAAAAGACCCTAGGTGTTTGTGCGTGGGTGTTTTTACCGCTAAGCGTAGTCGCCTGGATTATAGTGTTGAATATGGAAACTGTGAAGCTGTGTCGAGTTGAGTGGAAGCAGCCCGTTCAACTGGAACCTGGAACCACTGAGTTTGCCTGCTTGCGAGAAACTGGGCACACGAGAGAGATGGCTTCGATTTCGGGCCTCGATATCGACTATCGGGCCACGGCGCCGACAGACCAGTCGCAGGCTGCTCTGATTGGCCCACTCCGGGCGGCGTCTGGCAGGCCGCGTCTGGCGGGCGGCCTCTGGCAACGGTGATGATACCTATCGGCCTATCGGCAAAATGGAAATCCTGGATATGGTGGGGATTCCCCGTTAAGGGCAGTCCAAATTAGTTAAAAGGGGAAATAAAATATAAAATATACTCTGTTCCCTCAAGAATATTTACTCGGTACCCTATATTCCCTACTCGATAGGAAGCAATTCGAAACAGAGCATCTCTTTTGCCAGCGTTGCTAACGATAAGAACAGCTGTATATTGGGTGGTTATTGGTATTTCGATAGCAACTTAATCCCATAAATTAATATATTTTTAAAGGAAAAACAAATGGCTTATGCGCATGAAATCATATTTTTAGGTGCGCGGGACGGTTGTTTTAAAATAAGTCAATACAACAAGGAAGGTTTTATTTAATATAAATAAAAAAAAATTTGAGAATAACGTTTGTATTTTTTTTAGACTTAGAATCGATAGATAGTAATTTATATTCGATATAAAGGATTGTGCAAAAGCGACAGAGTTCCTTACATTAAAATAACAGCTAAGTGGGCTCAATAATCATTTAAAAATAAAAATTTTACTCGCTTAAAAATTAAACCTAAACATTTCAGTTTTATAAGTTATTGTTATTAATGGTGAAGGGGAATGAACTTGTTTCAAGTATTTTTGAGGACTTTGAAATTTGACAAGAAAATTATTATAAATAAATTCAAATATTGCATAGAAATATATTTTATTAACAAAGATTTCTCACTTAGCAATACAAAAATGGTAACAAGCTAATATAACATTAGTAATTATACTCGTTTAAAAAAATAAACCTAAGCTTTTCAGTTTTATAAGTTATTGTTATTAAGGGTGATGGGGAATGAACTTGTTTCAAGTATTTTTGAGGACTTGGAAATTAGACAAGAAAATTATTATAAATAAATACAAATATTGCATAGAAATACAAAAAATGGTAACAAACTAATATATCATTGGTGAAATATTGTTTACAAAAACCCGCCCAATAATCTCTACCGAGTTTTTAGGTTTCACATGTCCACAAAAATTGACTTCATCCAAAAAATAGTTTCCAATATATACAGTTCTTCAGTTTTTAACAAAAGATGCTAAAAATATCTTTTAAAAACAATAATCGATTATATTCATCGCTCGTCACTGTTATCGACTAGTGTTTTTCCAGTATATCCCGCACCTATCGAGCGTGGTATTTTCGTCCTACTTTCACAACGGTCACACGCTTTCTATTTGATTTCTCGTTTTTTTTTTTCTCATCTCAACAATTTTTGTTAAACAATTTACCGTGAATTTTGTTGTTGTGTGTGTGGATGTGTACGTGCGAGCGCAAAAAACAAAAGCGGAAAAAAGTGCTGGGGAAATCGAATGAAAAGAAGAAAAACGAAGGCAGAAAATGCTGGCAAACAAGAAATCGTCAAGGTGAAAACTGCGCGCCCTTCGTCTTCGCTAAAGAAAAAGGGGTGTTTTCGCGCTATATAATCCAAAAACGAACGATAATCTGCATAGAATCAAGGAAAATTCATCAGCTTTTGGCGGCCAATTTGCAAATACAAAATACTAAAATACGCTACATGGATTACGCACACACACAAGGGCACTGGCAAACGTAAATAGACTACATACAGTTGTCTCTCTTGCTCTGCTTGCTAAAGCAAAGGCTGCCAGAAAGAGATAGCCAGACTTGCCTTTTCTTGTACTTCACTATATTTTTTATTGTTTTTTTGTTGTTGTACGTGTGTGTGCGAGAGTGCCAAATGTCATCGGAAATTACAACACTGTAAGAAGAAGAAGCAGAAGCAGCAGTGCAACATAAACAAAACAAGAGAAAAATAATAATACCTTAACAAAATGTTGCCCGCCAATAATAAAAGTAACACCAATACAAGTACAACCAGCACTACCAATACCAACAGATGCCTCATCCAGTCGGCCATTGAAAGAACGGTAGTTCGTCTACGGGAAACGGCAACTAGCGGTACCTTTCAAGACTCCACAGAAGCTCCCTGCGTGGAATACGATATTATTAACTATTATGCAGAAAACAATAATAATAGTACGCCCCGAATCGCCGTCACTCCGCGACAACAGCAACACCAGTTGTCCTCTTCTCGCCACGGCGGCAACAATAACAATAACAGTGAGTGTCATCCTGCATTGGATGGATCCAGCAGTGTTGTTGTTGTGGTTGCACCGGCGGCGGGAAGCGAACTCGAAGGGGCAGAACGGGGAGTAACAGAAGAGGATCTGGAAGTGGATGTGGATGTAGAAGAGGGATCACCAGTTAAGCCTTTTAACCCAAAGAAACAACAAAATCGTTTTAAAGGCGGCGGTGGAACGCAAAGTCGATTACGCCGCTCGGCTGCCATCGTTCCAGCGAGATCACTTCCAGAAAGCAGTAGCAATTCCAATTCCAGTAGCAACTCCAGTTCTAGTGCTTCCAATCCCTGCTCTTCCCTTGGCGTTAATATGCGAGTAACGGGACAATGCAGCCAGGGCGGCAGGAAATATATGGAGGATCAGTTTTCGGTGGCGTACCAGGAATCCCCACTCACGCACGAACTGGAATATGCATTTTTTGGAATATACGATGGTCACGGAGGTCCTGAAGCAGCGCTATTTGCAAAGGAACATCTCATGTTGGAGATCGTTAAACAAAAACAATTCTGGTCGGACCAGGATGAGGATGTTCTGCGGGCGATTCGTGAGGGATACATCGCCACACATTTTGCTATGTGGCGGGAACAAGGTGAGCACAAACGAAATAATAGTACACGATTTCAGGGATATATATAAAAACCTTATGAAAACATAATTATAAAAGATCACATGAAATTAGTAGGAAAGCCTTTTTTAAATAAGGATATATTTTACTGTATTTATGAAACAAAAATATTTTCAAAAACGTTATGGTTTTAGACACTTGGGATTTTAAAATATACACCAATAGATACTAATCTTTTGTCCTTGAATGAAGCCTGTTTTAATTCATTGTCTTATTTGTATTTAGTATTTCAATATTTACTCCTCAAGTTTGGTTTTGAAATAGTTAGTGATGAGGAAAAGATTTTATAACTGTCAGTGGGAGCTTTTCAAACGGGGTGAATCCCTTCGTAATTAGGGTTGCCGTTGCTCCCAACAAAAAAAAATTCAAAATTACCCCAACAGCTCCCCTGGGTCTTCCATCTCTAGGTAATTATGCAACCGTGTGTGGCGGTGACTCAACCATCGCTCAATCCACGCATCTCTAGTGTCAGCCCACACTAAAAGATACACAGATACAGATACACACACACAGTTATCACTAGTGGAATATTCCACGGACTTGCCATATGGCTGTACTCTCGCCAAGCATGGCAACCCCGCTGTGTGTTAGAGCGGGACCAATATATCGCGAAGGCGTTTCAAAATGCGAGAAAGAAAGGGACAAGGAGAAAGAACGAGAGGGAGGGAAGAGAAAATAAATGTGTGCCCATTTCCTCTTCACATAACAATATACACAGAAATCCAAGGGATGCCAGAAATGTATATAATTGGATCTGTGTGTATGGGAAAATATCAATATTTTGATCTTGTTTTGATATGCAAGAAAATCCATTTTACCGCCAAAAACTCAACAGTCTTCAAAAATACAGAATTTTTGTAATAAGATTTCTGTTGAAAAATAATTAGTCATCGCCTCATTAAATATTTTTGTGGGGATTGTCATGATGACACAGATAATTTAGTTTATTTTTTGTAATTGCATTTTGGTTGTTTTGTACAAACCCAAAATAAACAAAAAGTACCAAAATAAACGGGATTACGTATTGATTTTGTTGGGGCTTTTTAATTTTGGTTCTTTAATTTCATCTCTTACAAAAATCTATGTTTTAGGTTCATTAATATTTAAGTTGAATAGTATTTTACATGATTAAAACTTATTTCATTTTTGGTTTTACTTTTTTTACACTATTTCACGAGGTGATGAAATTATATTAACCAATTTTCATTAGGAGAATAATTTTCTAAAAAATAATTGAAATTCTTTAATGATTATTAAAAAATCTATTTAAAGAAAAGCTTATGTCATTTCAGGCAAAAAAAAAAATTGTAATATGTTTTGAATATATATGTAATATATTGAAATAGTGTTATAATTAAAGAATAGAACTATGTGTTTAAAATAAACAAACCCTTAGTATCATAAATGAACTAGAAAATCGTACAAACTTGAGCATATTAGCAGGTGACTGCTAAAAGCATAGTTTTTAGAAAAAATACAACAATGTTTTAGAAAAGAATCTTAAAGAAAGAATCAAATCAAATTATACCTTGGTATAACAAAGCAATTCAACAAATTAAGTTAAAATTATAAACTATACTATTCGAAATCACTGCTATAATACAGTAAAGGTAAAAGCACCTTAGTATCACAACATTATTACAATAACAATTTAGAGTCTTCATGCAATTTCTAATCGTCTGGTATTTTCGTAACCCCATCCCTCAGAGAAATGGCCCCGCACCGCCAATGGACACCTAAGCACAGCGGGAACCACTGCCACAGTGGCCTTTATGCGTCGAGAGAAGATCTACATTGGTCATGTGGGTGACTCCGGCATTGTTCTGGGTTACCAGAACAAAGGAGAACGGAACTGGAGGGCGCGACCACTGACCACGGATCACAAACCCGAATCGCTGGCCGAGAAGACCAGAATCCAGCGAGCCGGTGGTAATGTGGCGATCAAATCGGGAGTTCCCAGGGTGGTGTGGAATCGACCCCGGGATCCAATGCACCGCGGGCCCATCAAGTGGAGGACTCCAGTGGACGATATACCCTTTCTGGCGGTGGCCCGTTCGTTGGGCGATCTCTGGAGCTACAATTCCCGCTGCAAAGAGTTTGTTGTGAGTCCCGATCCGGATGTCAAGGTGGTCAAAATCGATCCCAGTACCTTTAGGTGGGTATTTCTGAACCGCATTTCCCTACATAATCATTAATTACCCTAAAAATCCCCCTGCAGATGCCTGATCTTCGGCACCGATGGCCTGTGGAACGTGGTGACCGCTCAGGAGGCGGTGGACAGTGTGCGCAAGGAGCATCTAATCGGCGAATTACTGAACGAACAGGATGTGATGAATCCGAGCAAGGCGCTTGTGGATCAGGCCTTAAAAACCTGGGCCGCCAAAAAGATGCGGGCGGACAATACGTCCGTTGTGACTGTGATACTAACACCAGCGGCCCACAGTAATGCGCCCAGAACTCCAAAGCGTTCCCAATCCGCCATGGCACGTGATGCAGACCTCGAGGTGGAGCTTTTGCTTGAGGAGGACGACGAGGAGCAGCCCCCGCTAGATGTGGAGAACAATTGCCCCGAGTTTCTCATCGAGGAGGACGAATACGTACTGGATCAGCCGTACAGTGCCTTGGCCAAGCGGCATTTGCCACCCGACGCCTTTCGTGATTTCGATTACTTTAGTCTGGACGACGATGAGCCTATGGAGGAGGATGAGGAGCCATCGGTGGAGCAGAGCTTGTTCAGTCCCAGGAAAACGTGGCGCAAGTCCTGGACCGGCGAAACCGAACCAGAACCCGATCCCGAACCAGATCGATTGGATAATCCCGCGCTGGACATGTATTCCCATACCAGCATCGACAAGTGCGCCATATACGCGAATAGTATAGCCCCGCCAGCAATTACTCCAGCGGAAAGGTCTACAAATCGAGAGCTGAGCGAACTGGAACAGCACTTGGAGAGTAGCTACAGCTTTGCCGAGTCCTATAATTCTCTCCTGAACGAACAGGAGGAGCAGGAGGCGCGTTCACGTTTAGCAGCAGCGGCTGCAGAAGCCGAAGCAGCAGCACAGCAGACCACTGCCCATTCCGCATCCGTTGTGGTGGATCGCAGCATGTTGGAGATTATCCAGGAGCAGCAGCACTATCAGCAGCAAGAGGGTTACTCGTTGACGCAGCTAGAAACCCGGCGCGAACGGGAGCGGCTCACCGAAGCGTGGCCGCAACAGCCCGCGGAGCTCCTCGAACTGGATGCCTTGCTGCAGCAGGAGCGCGCCGAGGAGGAGCAGGTGGCCCTGGAGCAGCAGCTGCAGCGCGAGCAGCAAATGGAGGTGGATGTGGTGGCTAGCAGTAGTTCGGGACATCACGAGTTTGCTTTCCCGGTCGCCGCCGAGTGGAGTCCCACGGCAGCAGAAGCGGAAGAAGAGTCCCAGGTGATAGATATCCAGGTGGAACAGGAACACGAACACGAACAGGAACCGGAGCTGCAGGACAATGAAGTGAGCTCTACTTTGCCCGCCACACCCATTGAATTGATCGAACCGGTTGTGGAGAAACCAGAGCCAAAAAAGGAGCAGGAGACGCTGCTCGGGAAGGAAAAACCTCTGGTCAAGCAGGAAAAAAAGCTGCCCAAGAAGCAGGAGCCGCCCAAACTTGGCCAAGAACTCGTTGCTGTGCTGGAAACGGTGTCACTCCGCAAAGAAGACGCCCAAGCCGTGCACTTCATATTCGAGCATATACAAAAGCTGCAGGAGTCGGAGATGCCTGCCAATCCCCTGGTGGGTGAGGCTGAGGCCCCCGAATCCGGCGGACTGGGAGGATCCATGTCCGCGCCTCGTATCCGCCAGATGCGTCGTTACCGAAACGTGCCCAACGAGAATCACCAGCACATGCAGACGCGTCGCCGCCAGATGTTCAAGCATGGCAAGCCCAAATCCTTCATAGCATCCGCTGGAGCGGCCATTGTGGCCTATGGCGATAGCAGTGGCTCCGTCGGAGGAGCAGCAGGCTCGGCTGGCAGTCCGGCAGAAGGACGTGTGGGTGGTGGATCATCGAGCGGCAACGGCAACGGCAATCCAACAGCGGCGGCCAATCGGCGAGGGAGCGTCAATGTGGTGGCCAGTTCGAGTGGCAATAGTGGCAATGGTTCCACCACCTCCATGATGATGACCCGCCGCAGTCACAGCTTGACGGCCAGCGGCGGTGTGAGCAAAAGGCAGCTGCGCAGCAGTCTCTGCAGCCTGGGCCTGGGATTGGGATTGGACATGAACAAGCGAACGCTGCGGACCCGCAATGTTCCCGTTTCGACGGGCGGAGCAGCCACGCCCGTTAGCAACTCCTCGCCGGCCAATGGAGGCAATGGTTCGGGCGTGTTCAACAGTCCAAGCAATCCCGTGACCTCGGCCAGGGGAAGTGTCAATCCTGGTCCGGGAAACAGTGGCTCGCGGCGAATGAAACGCAGTCACGAGGATCGGGAGCAGAGGAGGAGTTTGCGGCGGAGCACCCTAAGTGCCAGTTCCAGCGGAGCCAGTGGAGTAACCTCTTCGAACGCGAAACCCAATCGCCTGCAGGCCTGCAACGGAGCCATCTCCGCGCGACCGCCGCCCTCTCCCAAGAAACTAAACGCAGCGGTGCCCACGTTGGCGATCGGAACCCGCGCCTATACGGCTGCTTTGGCGGCGGCGGCGGATCACCTGAACAAGCGGTGGTCATTGCGGAGCAGCAGTGGCACCTCCAGCAACCTGATAACAACGATCAGTTGTTACAGTGCCAGGAGCAGGGCGGCGGCAGCGGGAGCAGCTGGACAGCCAGGAACTGGTGGAGCAGCCACACCAGGAGCATCTTTAACCGCAGTCGCCACACGTCGCCGCTAAGCAGAAAAGTATAATGAAATCGTAATCGAAATCGGAGAAAAACGAAAATCAAGCGGGCGAGCAACTTGCAAGTACAAATCCCAAGCAACGGAAAACCTAAAAGCCTAGTTCTACTAAATCGAAAATGCTAAAATTGTAATCGTAATTAACAAATTGTTTAAATGTGCACAACACACACACACACATCGGATCTATTGTTTTATTGTACATAGAAAGCTATAAAACACACATCATATATTTATACCTAAGCCCAAACAATAAAACAAATTCATAGTGTAGCTATAAATCGCAGTTAGTATATAGTATATAGATATATATATTTTTGGTATTGTCTGCAAAAGCAGTTCTCCAACATCCGTCAGTTTTCCCTTCAATATAAATGTCCTCTTTCTCTATTCTAATATGTATGTTTTGCTGTTTTTACGCTAAGTTGACTAAGCTAGTTGGTAAGTTAAGTTAACAAGAGAGATGCTAATAACTTTAATTATTTTTTTTCCCAATTATAAATTTCATGTATCAATTGCATGTCCATCGCGCTCTCGTGCATTAAGCATTATCTATGAAATACATATGATATTTTTACATAATTAATTGGAGTCTTGAATTTCGATTGGGTTATTATGGGAAATTCCTGGCACGAGGTATGCCATTCCATTATAGGACAATTATTGGCGTTAATATCGTAAAAATACTGATATTTTTGAGCGGAAAATGGTTAAAATCCCAAATTTCACATTTTTCGTAAGGTTTTCATCATGAGTTTCCTCGAAAATTTTACAAAAAAAGCTGTGAATGCAGTTCGATTGGAAATTTTGTTACGAGTTCAACGAGGTATGCCATTCCATTGTAGGACAATTATTGGCGTTGATATCGTAAAAATACTGATATTTTTGAGCGGAAAATGGTTAAAATCCCAAATTTCACATTTTTTGTGAGGTTTTCATCATGAGTTTTCTTGAAAATTTTACAAAAAAAAGCTGTGAATGCAGTTCGATTGGAAATTTAGTTACGAGTTCAACGAGGTATGCCATTCCATTGTAGGACAATTATTGGCGTTGATATCGTAAAAATACTGATATTTTTGAGCGGAAAATGGTTAAAATCCCAAATTTCACATTTTTCGTAAGGTTTTCATCATGAGTTTCCTCGAAAATTTTACAAAAAAAGCTGTGAATGCAGTTCGTTTGAAAATTTTGTTACGAGTTCAACGAGGTATACCATTCCATTGTAGGACAATTATTGGCGTTGATATCGTAAAAATACTGATATTTTTGAGCGGAAAATGGTTAAAATCCCAAATGTCACATTTTTCGTAAGGTTTTCATCATGAGTTTCCTCGAAAATTTTACAAAAAAAGCTGTGAATGCAGTTCGATTGGAAATTTTGTTACGAGTTCAACGAGGTATGCCATTCCATTGTAGGACAATTATTGGCGTTGATATCGTAAAAATACTGATATTTTTGAGCGGAAAATGGTTAAAATCCCAAATGTCACATTTTTCGTAAGGTTTTCATCATGAGTTTCCTCGAAAATTTTACAAAAAAAGCTGTGAATGCAGTTCGATTGGAAATTTTGTTACGAGTTCAACGAGGTATGCCATTTCATTATAGGACAATTATTGGCGTTGTAATCGTATAAATACTGATATTTTTAAGCGGAAAATGGTTAAAATCCCAATTTTCACATTTCAAATTTTTCGTGAGGCTTTCATCATGAGTTTTCTTGAAAATTTTACAAAAAAAGCTGTGAATGCAGTTCGATTGGAAATTTTGTTACGAGTTCAACGAGGTATGCCATTCCATTGTAGGACAATTATTGGCGTTGATATCGTAAAAATACTGATATTTTTGAGCGGAAAATGGTTAAAATCCCAAATTTCACACTTTTTTGTGAGGTTTTCATCATGAGTTTTCTTGAAAATTTTACAAAAAAAGCTGTGAATGCAGTTCGATTGGAAATTTAGTTACGAGTTCAACGAGGTATGCCATTCCATTGTAGGACAATTATTGGCGTTGATATCGTAAAAATACTGATATTTTTGAGCGGAAAATGGTTAAAATCCCAAATTTCACATTTTTCGTAAGGTTTTCATCATGAGTTTCCTCGAAAATTTTACAAAAAAGCTGTGAATGCAGTTCGTTTGAAAATTTTGTTACGAGTTCAACGAGGTATACCATTCCATTGTAGGACAATTATTGGCGTTGATATCGTAAAAATACTGATATTTTTGAGCGGAAAATGGTTAAAATCCCAAATGTCACATTTTTCGTAAGGTTTTCATCATGAGTTTCCTCGAAAATTTTACAAAAAAAGCTGTGAATGCAGTTCGATTGGAAATTTTGTTACGAGTTCAACGAGGTATGCCATTCCATTGTAGGACAATTATTGGCGTTGATATCGTAAAAATACTGATATTTTTGAGCGGAAAATGGTTAAAATCCCAAATTTCACATTTTTTGTGAGGTTTTCATCATGAGTTTTCTTGAAAATTTTACAAAAAAAGCTGTGAATGCAGTTCGATTGGAAATTTAGTTACGAGTTCAACGAGGTATGCCATTCCATTGTAGGACAATTATTGGCGTTGATATCGTAAAAATACTGATATTTTTGAGCGGAAAATGGTTAAAATCCCAAATTTCACATTTTTCGTAAGGTTTTCATCATGAGTTTCCTCGAAAATTTTACAAAAAAAGCTGTGAATGCAGTTCGTTTGAAAATTTTGTTACGAGTTCAACGAGGTATACCATTCCATTGTAGGACAATTATTGGCGTTGATATCGTAAAAATACTGATATTTTTGAGCGGAAAATGGTTAAAATCCCAAATTTCACATTTTGTGAGGTTTTCATCATGAGTTTTCTTGAAAATTTTACAAAAAAAGCTGTGAATGCAGTTCGATTGGAAATTTAGTTACGAGTTCAACGAGGTATGCCATTCCATGATAGGACAATTATTGGCGTTGATATCGTACAAATATTGATATTTTTGAGCGGAAAATGGTTAAAATACCAAATTTCACATTTTTCGTGAGGTTTTCATAACGAGTTTTCTTGAAAATTTTACAAAAAAAGCTGTGAATGCAGTTCGATTGGAAATTTTGCTACGAGTTCAACGAGGTATTCCATTCCATTATTGGCGTTGTAATAGTTAAAATACTGATATTTTTGAGCAGAAAATGGTTAAAATCCCAATTTTGTCATATGACATTCTGTCATATATTAAAAATCTAACTTCAATACATTTTTGCTAATTTATATTATTTATTTTTGCTTAAAGTGGCTTGTTTGAGGAATGACGTATATTTTTTATGTAGTACGAACACACTTTTGAAATGATTATTTTAAAATGTAGTTTTGTATATTGGACATATATCAATATATCAATATATCAGTTATATCCAGTTATATCCAGTTATATCCAGTTATATCCAGTTATATCCAGTTATATCCAGTTATATCCAGTTATATCCAGTTATATCCAGTTATATCCAGTTATATATATGGCTACATCGACTCGGCTAGTGATCCTGAACAAAAATATATATACTTTATAGGGTCGGAAACGCTTCCTTCTACCTGTTACATACTTTTGCACGAATACAATATACCCTTTTACTCTATGAGTAACGGGTATAAATACCCTGCTATTGCGTTGGTAGTGAATGGTCACACTTAAATACTCGTTAGGGATGGAGGTATCGATGCTAGCGGAGACACCAACATAGTCGGGACTTGCTCTGCAAGTAGCGCGGACAATTTTAATCTTTCTGTTAGAAACCGATGTATTTTAACATTTAGTGATGGAAAAACATCGATGACGCACGGACCAGTGCGCGCGAGAAACTGGAGTGGAGCCGTTAACAGTGTGCAAGAAGTTCTTGCACATTCCCTTTAGTGGAATCGTTAACAGTGCACCAGAACTGGAGTGACATTTTGTTGGAGGTGGAAGAACATCAACGACGGGCAGATAAACATCGATAGTAACGATGTTTTGCAATCATCGATAACAATGGCATCGGCGTTTGCTCATCTCCAGGCGTAATATTGCATTGTTTTTTTCCTTCTCACTATATAATGCCGAAGTCGCGCACCGCCGTCATAAAACACCGACACTAAAGGACCGCCCGTAACAAATACACCAACTCCAATAACGAAACGTCAACAACCCTTGCAAAACAAGGGAGTTTAACAGTGTTTCGGAGCGGCAAACAAATACAGCTTAAATAACGCGTTCGCGTCGCTTGTGCTGGCCAAAGAATCAAAATTAACCGTCTTTAGCGCGTAAAACTAGATATTTAGAACTTAAAACTGAAAGTAAGTGGAAAAGCGATCGAAACATTGGAAAATATACATTAAAAAGTGTGGAAAAGTGCCTCAGTGTATATGTGTGTGTTTAACAGTTACGTCTGGCATAGATAACCGTTTTCCCCCTCTCTCCCTCTTTTACCTTCCATTTTCCTTTGCTAGCTTAGCTGTACATTGTGTGCGAGGGAGATAGAGCTAGCTGACAGCAATGCGATCTCTCATCCTCTCTCTTGCTCTCTCTGCACAATTGGAAAAAGCAATAACAATAGAAAAAAAGACATATGAGGCTGCAAATTGGCAAGTTAAATATTTAAACGCAGTTTTTAGCTGCGATGTCCTTGACATAATTGCAGTTTTTTGTTGCGGCCATCGATTATTTCAGCCTCTCTGTCCCTCTTCCTCTCTACCCACCCTTCCCTCGAGGGGGTTGTTGTTGTCTGTGGTCTATTATCATTCTAGTTATCATTACTGATAAGAGTAAAAAATTATAAAAGTACTAAGCGAGGTGCAGGCTTAAAACCACATCCTCCTGAAATTCTTATCGCCTGCGGTTTCTTATTTATTTATAGTGTATGGAATTTCCTTGGCATTCTCTTCTCCCACAGAGCGTTTTATCTCCCCTTCCAAGTTGACCTTCCAGCTGGAAGTCATTCACTAAAAATAGTACAAACACACAGACAAAATAAACAGATTGTCTTAGATCATAGGCGGAGTAACAGGGACAGCAGGAGGCCAAGTTCATTGTCCTTGATCAGAGTGTGTGTGCTAGAGTGGGAGGGAGATGGTCGGGGAAAGTGACTCTCCCCCGGTGACGTGTCACCATTCCATTATAAATGCAGTGGACGAGAGAGAGAGGGGACAATCTGCAGCGCAGCGTAGGGGGTGGAATCATAATTACTATTTCAACCACCCAAAAAATTACGATTACAAACCCCCAAGAGGTTCCCTATTTGATTTGGCTTTCAGTCTTGATAAAATTAATTTTACAGTCACAGAAAAATCGTTTCATTTTAAAACATGATTTACCAATTTATTTTGAAATGTACAAAATGTATAAGAAATCAAAACTAAAGACTTGATAAACCTTAACTATGGGAGTATTTCATTTAAATTATTTTTATGGGGGTTTTAAAAGCCTAACTTTCGTCAGAACGAGATTTTAGGTTTCCTTACCGTTTGCCTCAATTGACATAAGACTAGTTTTTGTTTGCTAGGGGATTACCCTTGCCCCCAAGTAAGCACTACTGAATCCCCATCAATTCGAATATTCCCCCCTTTTTTT